CAAACTCACTCACTCACTCTCTCTCACACACACACACACACACACACACGCACACACACACACACACACACACACACACACACACACACACACACACTCAAGACACTCACACTCAAGACACTCACACAAACACACACACTCTCTCTCTCTCACACACACACACAAGCACACTCACACTCAAGACACTCACACACACTCACTCTCTCACACACACACACAAACTCACTTTCCCACACAAACTCACACTTTGCCACACATACACTCAAGACACTCACACAAACACACTCACCCAGACACACACACTCTCTCTCACACACACACACACACACACACACACACACACACACACACACACACACACACACACACAGTCTTAAAACATCTACCTGTTGCTTTGACCGCTAAAAGTAGTGCAGTAATGTAGTAAACCCCATGAACAGGGCGATGGTTATTCCCATCATTACCGCGGTACGGACGGAGGCTCAGTCACAGCTGTGAATACACACACTAATAACAATTACCAAGGTCATTAGGATTTGATACTTCATAAAGCGCAGTTTAGGGCTGTTGATCACGAGGAAACTGTAATAATACACACAGGAACTGTTCATGTGTTCATCAGCACAGCTGGCGATGCTATCAGTCACACGTCCCAGAGCACACACTGACGAACTACAGGAGATTATGAACTTTATTCTGATTCTATCCTTATTCTGGGAACATTTTATACACACAAATCTAAATGTCTAAATGTCTGTTTCCTATACAAATGCCCTAAAAATGATGAAAAGTAAAAATACAAAAAGAAAACTTTGGAAAAATAGAAGAATATGTCTTCTATTAATAAATTAATATCATGTTAATATCACTTGGTCGGTCACATGATAGTGACAACATGACATCATTCATTCTACACACATTCATACTATACAGAACATACCTTTTTTAATGGCCGTGAAGTAATTACTTATTCAAAATGAGTCTTTAATAACAAATAATAAAACATTATTTATTCATCATTCGTGAAACGTTTTTTAGTTTTAGTTTGTTACATTTTGTAAAAAAAAAAAAAAAATGTTTTAGAATGTTCAAAGAACATTGAAATGTAACATCACTATAATGTTCAAAAATGGAATGTTCAGTAAACATTTAAAAAAACGGAACTTTCAGAAATAACGATTTCATAAGAGGAACTTTTGCAAGCTGTGGAATTACTTATATGGCATGTAACCGTGTAATAATCTGGATAATGTACATCCGGCCGGTGTTACTGCACAAATAAAGCCCTTATTTACCTGTATGAGACACACACACACACACACACACACGATGAGCGCAGGAGGAGAGTCAGCCATCAGGTGGCGCTGTGTGTGTGACTCAGGAGGTCTGCAGCTCGAGAGGTCGCCCGCAAGAAGCAGAGAGAAGCGAGACGTTACATAACATCAGTGTAGGAGGAGAGAAGACAGAGGAGTTCAGACGGACACCTGTGAACACTCGTGAAGCAACACTGAACACACACACACACACACACACTGAACACACACACACAACACGAAACAACACAACACACACAACACAACACTGAACACACACACACAACACGAAACAACACAACACACACAACACAACACAACACTGAACACACACACACAACACGAAACAACACAACACACACAACACAACACTGAACACACACACACAACACGAAACAACACAACAAACACAACACAACACTGAACACACACACACACACAACACGAAACAACACAACACACAACACAACACTGAACACACACACACACTGAACACACACTGAACACACACACACAACACGAAACAACACAACACACACAACACAACACTGAACACACACACACACAACACGAAACAACACAACACACACAACACAACACTGAACACACACACAACACGAAACAACACAACACACACAACACAACACTGAACACACACACACACAACACGAAACAACACAACACACACAACACAACACTGAACACAGACACACAACACGAAACAACACAACACACACAACACAACACTGAACACACACACACAACACGAAACAACACAACACACACAACACAACACTGAACACACACACACAACACGAAACAACACAACACACACAACACAACACGAAACAACACACAGAACAACACACACAACACAACACACACACAACACACACACACAACACACACACACAACACGAAACAACACAACACACACAACACAACACTGAACACACACACACAACACGAAACAACACAACACACACAACACAACACGAAACAACACACACACAACACACACAACACAACACACACACACACAACACACACAACACAACACACAACACAGCTCACACAACACAACACAGCTCACACAACACAACACACAACAAAGCTCACACAACACAACTCACACAACACAGCTCACACAACACACACAACACAGCTCACACAACACAACACAACACATCTCACACAACACAACACAACACACACAACACAACACACACACACAACACAACACACACAACACAACACACAACACAGCTCACACAACACAACACACACAACACACACACACAACACACAACACACACAACACAACACACACAACACAGCTCACACAACACAACACAACACAGCTCACACAACACAACACACACAACACAACACACACACAACACACACACACAACACAACACAGCTCACACAACACAGCTCACACAACACAACACAACACAGCTCACACAACACAACACACACACAACACACACACACACAACACAACACAGCTCACACAACACAACACAGCTCACACAACACAACACACCACAGCTCACACAACACAACACAGCTCACACAACACAACACAACACAGCTCACACAACACAACACACCACAGCTCACACAACACAACACAGCTCACACAACACACACAACACAACACACACACAACACAGCTCACACAACACAGCTCACACAACACAACACACACACAACACAACACAACACAGCTCACACAACACAGCTCACACAACACAACACACAACACAACACACACACAACACAGCTCACACAACACAACACAACACAGCTCACACAACAATGTTGGTAAAATTAGCTATTTACAATGAACAAAAGGGTTAGTGTTGTTAAAATGATTAATTTTAATATTATTCAATTACATATTTGATGAAAAATATTTGATCAATATCATTTTTTCACCATTTCTGTACTGTATTATGGTAAATATCAAAAATACCTTTGAAGAATTAATACCAATTCTGGTGTTACTATTAATTTCATAATTTAAAATTGACTATGTTTGTGTATTACTATATGACTAGCATTGTAAGAGCCATCAATAGCAGCCATCAGATTTTTTATTGGTCAAGAAAATGCACTTAATATGACTTGTTTTGAATTTTGTTCTTTTATTATGAACAGACGTCTCAACCGTTTGGTAGAGGATTGTATCTAAAATACTGTAGGGTCTAATTAAATTTTTTTTTTTTTGATTGTTGTTATTGTTATCATAATTGAATAAAAAATGCAAAGAAATAATTTTTCCTTTGGTTTTTTCATGGTGCGTACCTTAAAGGGTTAAGACATTAAAGTTAAACACGGTTATTCAGATCTCATGTTGTCTTCAAGAGTTGCTCCCGTCATATGGAGCGCGTTCAGCGGTCTGACGGAGACGAGCTGTTTTATATTCACAGGCCGTCAGTGAAAGGCTCCGAGAAGCGGCTGACGGGCCATTACACTTTATCAGTGAGTTGTGCAGCACCTGAATAATGGATTTCTTTGTGTTGTGACAGTGACAAAGGTCTGAGACTCGCCGGTGGATCGGCAATTAACAAAAGCACTTAATTAAAGAAAAAAAAAACACTGTGACACACACTCACATACACACGCACTCACTCACTCACTCTCTCTCTCTCTCTCTCTCTCTCACACACACACACTCTCTCTCTCTCACACACACACGCACTCACTCACTCTCTCTCTCTCTCTCTCTCTCACACACACACTCACATACACACGCACTCACTCACTCACTCTCTCTCTCTCTCTCTCACACACACACACTCTCTCTCTCTCACACACACACACTCACATACACACGCACTCACTCACTCTCTCTCTCTCTCTCTCACACACACACACACTCACATACACACGCACTCACTCACTCTCTCTCTCTCTCTCTCTCACACACTCACATACACACGCACTCACTCACTCACTCACTCTCTCTCTCTCTCACACACACACATACACTCTCTCTCTCACACACACACACACGCACTCACTCACTCTCTCTCTCTCTCTCTCTCTCACACACACACACACACACACACTCACACGCACTCACTCTCTCTCTCTCTCTCTCTCTCTCACACACACACACGCACTCACTCACTCTCTCTCTCTCTCTCACACACACACACACACACACTCACATACTCACTCTCTCTCTCTCTCTTACACACACACACATGCACTCACACTCTCTCTCTCTCTCTCTCACACACACACGCACTCACTCACTCACTCTCTCTCTCACACACACACACAAGATGCTGTAGAATTATTATTATTGTAAATTCATGTCCCAGTCACACTTAATGTCACATTTCCCTTACATTACTAGTAACCATTACTTTACATTAAAAAAAATAAAAGAGAAAAATAAAATAAAAGAAACCTAATAATTACATTAACAATTTAAAGTTTCTTTTTATTTAAAAAAAAAGTATAAATCTCATCAAGTTAGTGTTTTAAGCATTAACCTTTACCCGTTGCTGTCGGACAGCGTTACTTTAGAAAAAAACTGATTTATACACTTTTTAATGTCATATTTGTAATATGGATTATATTCCCATCGGATCATTGGAGAAAACGCCCCTGATAAACAAACACTCTCCATCAGTCAATACTTTACAAATGTGACAAAAATCAAACTAATCATTTCAAATAGTTTTATTTGTTTTTTTTTTGTTTTGTTTTCAAACGGACTTTTTCACAACAATGCCAGATATGGATCTTCGAAATGTTCATTCGCTAATCGATGTAAATTTTTGTTTAAGACTGTCTTGAAAAGCTAAAAAACACCATCATGCAGAGAGAGAGAGAGAGAGAGAGAGAGAGAGAGAGAGAGAGAGAGTGAGAGAGAGTGAGAGAGAGAGAGAGAGAGAGAGAGAGAGAGAGAGAGAGAGAGAGAGAGAGAGAGAGAGAGAGAGAGAGAGAGAGAGAGAGAGAGAGAGAGAGAGAGAGAGAGAGAGAGAGAGAGAGAGAGAGAGAGATGATGATCCCTCATCTGATCAAACCTGTTTAACTCTACAAGCACACAGAAGCTGAGAATTCATTTATTTTTGCCACAACAACACAAATTCAAAGGGGCACAAAGCAAAAAATGTGCAGGTCAGCAGAACGAGTCAAGCGTCTGAGGTGTGTTATTTGTTCTTTGAACAGCTAATGCGACGGCCGTGGGAATGTCGTTAAGCTGAAGGAGGGAAACGTGGGAATGGAGTGCAGGGAAATTCATCAGCTAGTATTTTTCCAACATTTTCAGAGTTAACTATACAACCCACTCGCTTCTAACTGCAATCACAACAGTCTGAAAAATAAATGTACACATCATCATCATCATCATCATCATCATACACTCGCAGAGTCTGCGCTGTAGTCTGAACTCTAAGGTCCGTGTTTAGTGGTGTTAGACAGGCGTTCCCATTGGTCCGTAGGCTTGAGTGACAGGTCCATCAGCCAATGGCTGACGCCGATAAACTAAAGGGGCAATTAAGCACCTCCCCTAAAATAACATAATATAGGTCATGAAGAAAAACAAAACAAAAGGAAACCTAGAGGAGCTGATGCAGCCAGCGGGCAGAGACAGAGAGGTGCGTGTGTGTGTGTGTGTGTGTGTGTGTGTGTGTGGATCCAGTGGTTGTGGTCAGAACCTCTCGCTGCCGGTAGCGTTCGTCTCACTTCAGTAGAGCTTTAATGGCCTCGCTTTCGGCCGCCTCGAACGCGCTGAGACCATCCGGACCTTTACGTTCCTTATCAGCACCCTGGAGGGAGGAACACACACACACACACACACGATTAAACAAAAGACCGGCAGCAGGAAAGGAAAGAAATAATGAGATTGAGACACACTTATACCAGGGTTTTTATCATTAACAAACTGTTAAAAACATTTCTATTCATTGAAATAAGGCTGACATAAAAATAAAATATTAATATTAGTTGAAAAACCGAAACTAAAAACTAGAAAACCTGAAATAATAGTTGAAGCACAAATAAATAAAAACTAAAACTCAAATAAAAATAAATTAAACCTAAACAGCAAATCTAATAAAATGACAAAAGCACATAACAAAATGACTAATTAACATGAAATTCAAAAATACAATTAATAAATCTACAGTAAAACCATTCTTTATTTTTATTTCAGTTTTAGTTTTACTTTATTTTAAATTTTTCCCCCCAGCTTTATTTCAATTAACAGAAACGTTTTAATTATTTTAGTTTTAATTAAATGATACTAACCCTGGTTTTAGCTTTCAATAAACACAACATCTGATATATATAAATAACTAATTTAATTATATTTGTGATAAAAATTGTAAAGGTTTTTCTGGGCCCTTTTTTTTTTTCAAAGTCCTTCAAAGTTTCTCCAGATTTGAAGTCTAATGACATTAATAAACACTGGGCAAGTTTTACAGTGAAGGGACATTACAATATTGACATCTGATGGTCCTTCGACAAACAGAGCAACTAACGTCCCAGCATTAGTGGACGTTCTGCTCATTACACACGACCCAACATTATTCAAGAAATAAAAGAACAATTTACAGTAGATCACGCTTCCACCTGACCAATCAGAGCTGATTATTGAGTACAGGACCTCATGCATAATCTAGCGTGAGCCGGACCCTCGGGGCTTTACACTAATGTTATCCTCCGCGCCGGTCGATGCGCTTTAATGATCCTCAGTGTGTGTGTGTGTGTGAGTTTGAGTAAGTCTCCGGTTTACTCTGAACACTACTCTCTCACACACACTACTCTCTCACACACACTACTCTCTTGTGTTTTTAATAGTTTAAAGCACAAAATATTATTTAAAAAACTTAAACTAAACGAAAAGTGGAAATGTTTCCTTGGCAAATACCTGGAAATAAATAACCAAAACTGAAATAAAAATATATTAAACCTAAATAGCTATATAAAAAAAATATATATAAAAAAATACAATAAAATGAAAAATTACTACATTTTTACAGAATTACAAAAAATAAAAAAATAAATACTAAAAATTAAACTAAAATGAACATGAAAAAAAACACATACTAAAATAAAAGCCAATTAAATTGGAATAAAAATAAATTAAACCAAAAATAGGAATATTAAAACAAAAAATAACAAAAACACAATGAAATTACTAAACATGCAACTAAATTTAAAATATTGGCCCTTAAAGAATTAAACTGATACTGTGATCCCAGGCCCGAATTAACACAGTGTAGTGCCCTAGGGTGACCACATTTTAAGTGCCCCCCACCCCCACCCCATACAACTCACATGCTAGTGCAACATGAACATGTCATACTAAATATCTTTATTTCCATAATAAATGGCATGTATGAGGACTACATGCAAAACCTTTTGTCTAAAAAAATCATATACCAAATAAGCAAGCCCAAGAATCAGCTAAATTCAGCACCACAGAGACGCACAGCAGCAAAACATTTAAATGCAACCAAATCCATTAGTAATCGGATTGACGGCTCAATAGAACTGAAAAGCTTTTATTCAACCTTTATTGATCCGATTGAGCTCGATCGGAATCAAATTTCGATCGGATTGAAAGGGGTGTTTTTTTCCTTTTCTAATCCGATCGAGAGAACATGTAAACACTTGATCGGATTAAAAACCGAAACTGAAAGGACTGCGTACATGTGCAATGACGTTGAAATAGCGTAATGACGTATGACCCTCGGAATGTTCTTCCTGTTGAATAAAGTGTCATAAAATCAAGTGTCCCGTCATTTTCAAATTCTCCTTTCACTCAGCGTCTGTGAAGTGGAGCAGGACCAACCAGTCATTTTTCGGATTATAACCCAGAGACGACTGGTTTTGGACGCGAGAAGGGAGGGGCATTTTACTGATAAATATAAGCAACACGGTACAACAACGGTTCATGTGCTCATTGTCCCCAAATTATGACCAGATATGCATAAATATTAAGCCTGCTGTTTAAAACAAATAAAGAACCAATGTAGGAGATGGGTATTATGCACAAACAGCTGGAAAATCTGTATATTCAGCATACTAACGTTACCTCTTCCGATTTTAAGCTTGCGTATAAACGCGCACATCAACCCGATCACGTTTAGCGTTCATGTACACTACATTCAGATTCATCAATCGGAATGAATTCAGTCCGATTGAAACAAAAGTTATGCATGTAATAAGCATCTCTAACTAAGCAACCAGCTATAAGAGAAAACCGTTCCAAATTTCAAATCGACAACAGCGTCACACTCAGTAGCCTATTTGCCCAGAAATAATGGAAAATAAGCCTTAGCCTACCTTTAGCAAAACAACTTTCTCTAGACTTTGTGTTAGGCTACCGCCTTTGCTCACAACATTAGCAGCTGCTTGAGTTTTGGTTGAGGCATTTTTCGCTGCTAGTGGCTTCTGCTGTTGATGCCGATCGATGTCTCTGTCTTTTCTTAATTTCGAAGAAATAGGCACTGTGACCTGACCCAATCGCAATTCTTTATATGCATATTTTATATTCTCTCTGTAAATGTTATCATTAATTGTTAATTTTATATCTCCATCTCTTCCAGCAAAATAATATATATACAAAACATGAAAACTATTTTAAAGGTTTAGTCATTCTCTTAATCATTTGGTGCCCCCCTTTTGGCTGGTGCCCCAGGGCACTCGCCCAATCCCGTCTATGGATAATCCGGCCCTGTGTGATCCTGATAGCTAGATAAAAGGCGTTCGAAATAATGTTTAAAATGTAAATATCTGAAGTTAATTGGTAATTATGGAAGTTTAACTTCCCATTCAGAGCATTTGACAACAGAAAAAAGAGGAAGTGCTCTTCGATCTCTCATTCATGCGTGTCAGCCATGTGGCGTTTCTTCTCGCCCGCCGTATTTATGGCCATGAGTGTGGATACGTGATGGAGGGCAACACAGAGATAGCAACACAGAGATAGCAACACAGAGATAGCAAGACAAAACGCCATGCTAGCTTCTCAGGCTATTTTACCATATTTGAGTTATTCAAATTTAAAATAGAAACTATATAAGATATTTAAAGAGGTACATCACTGCTAGTAAAACGAGCTTTCAATAAAACATGGCTGCCAAAATGTTTTAAAATCGATGATACCTGACTAGAGAAAACGGCCTTTTGCAAAATGCATAGGAAAACTTCAACACCCATAATGCACTGGGCAAGTCGCCGTCTAAGGCCACGCCCACCAGAGTCAAATACAACCTTGCTTTAGTAGGAAATACCATATTTCTTATGAAATATCATATTTCTTAAGTAGAAATATGAGACTAGATCCAGAACACATTTATATGGATCTTACGTTACCAAATCCATCATTCACAAACATCTTTATACATTTAATCCACAATCATCTTCAAATATATAGTGCTGGATTGAGATACAAATACAAATAAGAGCACTGGACAAACACTGCACGGTTTGTTGAAGAGCCACTGAGACGCTCTTCAGATTCACACTGTAGTCTGGGTGTGAACTGCATCAGTCTGTGCTGTGAACCAAACACCCACAATCCTTTGAGGGGAGAATTCAAAAGAAAAGCTGCAGTTTTACTTCCACAATCATAAACGATCAAGAAAATATGACCAATAACCGATATCGTATAATACGAACGAAATTAATGGAAAATAGTGAAGAACTTTATTTGAGAATTAACAATAATGACTTAACCATGAGAATATTGTATATTAAGATCAATTTAAAAACATAAGGTGCTATTTGCTAATGATGCAACATTAAGAATAAGTCATTTTCATGTAGAAATAACCTTATTGTAAAGTGTAACCAAATAGCTAAGCTTCTAATGCTTTTATACATTTTTTATTGTCATATGAAATATATAAATAATCTACAAGAAATGGAGAGAGAAAAAAGGGATTTTTAAAGTTACTTTGTAAGAACGGAGAAATGTTTGGAAAACTATAAAACCATCTGCGTTTATTTTTTACTGAAAACCGAGAGTTGCTTTTTGGAACCATTAGTAATCAACGCAGATAATTAATTATAAGCACTGTTTTAATTATAAGCACTGTTTCTGAACTCCTGAAACACCTCCATTGTAGTCTTGAGTTTCTTCCGGGAACGAACACGTCACAATATTCCTCATTATAATAATTAATACGCAGAATAAAGGGGCGGGGCCTGGTTGAGTTAGTTAGTAGTGTGTTAAACTGGCGGTTATGGGAAGGGGCGGGACATTTCCCAAACATACTCGAAGCGCTCGACCAATCACAACACACTGCTCCAGCCGACCAATCAGAGCACAGTGTGCTTTTCAGAAGGCGGGGCTTCATAGAGACAGGAAGTAAACAGAGCGTTACTGACAGACTGGGAAAAGAGGAGCCGCAACAATGGAGAATATGAGGAAAATAATTAGGGATGTCCCGATCCGATCACGCGATCGGAAATCGGGCCCGATCACGTGGTTTCAGACTCGATCGGAATCGGACTGTTACCTCCCGATCAGGACTCGGATATATGTAAATTAGGGGTGTAACGGTACATGTATTCGTAATTATTGAACCGTTTCGGTACGAGGCTTCCGGGTCGGTACGCATACAAACCGAACAATTCCTAGGACCATTTTTCCTGCAGACAAAATCAGCGCTGGCGCGATCACCACAACGCTGCGCAACATCAAATGGCAAACGTAATGAAAGCGGAACGAAACTGCGCTACTCATTATATTGTGCTTCACGGACCATTATCAGTTCGGACCAGCAACATCTGTGCAGCGCGAGATCAAGCGACACTGTGCTAAGAGATCCAGTGAAGAAAACATTTGAATTCGCCACTGAAGTAATAACATCGCTGCGAGATCTAGTGAGAAGCGTTCACATTTCTCTGTTATTAACCGTAGATCTCTATTAGATCAAACAGCGCTGACGTGGACACCAGGAGAAACACTGTGCCGTGAATGAACATGGAGTTAATGTTGCACTTCAAAACTCAAATATTATGTAAATATATATTTAAATGTTATTTTTAGTGTGATTACCAAATATTATTTGTTCATCCTTCAAAGATTACCCCCATTTATAAACCTGAAAGTTTCAAGATGTAGGAAAACTCAAACTTATTTAAAAATAGTTTTTCTTTTAATAAATAGGAAATTTCTCTGGCATTTCTTTCTTTTTGCTGTATCGTACCGCAAATTTTGTAAACTGTTACACCCCTAATGTATATATATATATATATATATATATATATATATATATATATATATATATATATATATATTCTCATTATTTTTTATACACTTTTAAAACATTTTTATTTTTTGTTTACATGCCTGCCGGGTATTTTAAGTTGAGGTGCTATTGTTTTTATATTAGACTTTTTCTATATTTACTGTTGCACAAAAGTCCAAAAGTGAAGATTTTATGTTATTTATTACTTGATTGTTCAAGCTACCTCACAGAAGTGCTCTGTTTGTTAACAGTTGTTGAATGTTAAAATAAGGTGAATTAAATAAAAAAAATAAGGAACATCCTGGATCTGTTTTTTCGCTCTTCTTTATTCTTTTTTTATGTATTATATAAGTATCGGATCGGGACTCGGTATCGGTAGATACTCAAAATCAAATGACTCGGACTCGAGGGCAAAAAAATCTGATCGGGACATCCCTAAAAATAATCAACATTCAAGCAGGAAAACCTGTTCTAGTAGAGTCTGAAAACAACATCACGGCTTTTTAAAAGGGCAGAATAGCTCCCCAGGCTTTAAACAATGTTACAGCCCAACTTCTTGTTTCAGAACAACTGCACTCCTCAAGTGATCCAATGGGGATTCAAGCCTGAAATATTCCCGAGCAACAGCCAAAAATGCATGATCAGCTCCTGCAGAAGCATCGGAAACACAGAGCGTCTGAGGAGATGAAGGGCCCTCGGATCAGCGATACGGGCCCCGGTGGGACATCAGAGCACACGTGTGTGTGTGTGTGTTGTGTAATCTCAGACGGGATCTCTCACTGGAGAATGTGCAGTGCTGTGCAGCCTGACATAACTGCATTATAACCCCGTGTGACCCTGCGGATGCCACTGTTTACAGCCTCCGTTCAGACGCTTTCAGCTTTAAATCCACAAACAAAAGCTCTTTCTCTCACCAGAGCTGGACGCTGCCACAACACACACCACACAACAGTAGAAATGTGCCAGCCAGCAGAGATTATGAGCAGTTATACTGAGCTAGACACATCAGCGTGGACATTCACACGAGTAAATATGGTGAAGAGTGAACACACAGAGCACAGCGTGTCAAAGACGTCCGGCACAATAACAACAGGAGTTTACTTGTGTGCAAATGCTGAGAAACATTGAGAAACTTGTCACAATAATATAGATTTCAATAATTTAAGTAAGATTATAATACAGGTAAAACTAGAATATCGTGCAAAAGTTCATTTATTTCAGTAATTCAACTTAAAAGGTGAAACTAATATATTATATAGACTCATTACATGCAAAGTGAGATATTTCAAGCCTTTATTAGTTATAATTGTGATGATTATGGCTTACAGATATGAAAACCCCAAATTCAAAATTAGAATATTGTGAAAAGGTTTTCATAAGCTGTAAGCCATAATCATCACAATTATAACAAATAAAGGCTTGAAATATCTCACTTTGCATGTAATGAGTCTATATATTAGTTTCACCTTTTAAGTTGAATTACTGAAATAAATGAACTTTTGCATGATATTCTAGTTTTTCGAGTTTCACCTATATGTAACTACTGTACTGTAGTAATTGTTATATTGGATTTACTCCATAGCGATAGATGTAACTAACTAATAGAGCCTTATTGTAAAGCATTACCGAACAGTAATAAAGAATCAGAACATTTTCAGTCAACACTATTGCAAATACAAAATCTGAATGGCTGTTTGAAACAGTTCAACGCAGTTCAGAAACAGAAACTAGCGCAGCTAACTTCAAACTCAAGCACTTTCCAGGTCCAATACCCTCACATTCAAGGTCTTAATGCGGGAACACATTTGACGTGTCCGACAACAAAGACATCATCGTAGTAGTTTTGTGTGCGCATGAACGTCAAGTCAAATATATTTATATAGCGCTTTTCACAATACAGATTGTATCAAAGCTGCTTCACACAGTATCAATCAAAACAACTTAACAGTGTTTGTTTATTACTGGAAAAGACATCCAAGTTTGGTAGAGCTGATCAGTGGTATGATGGGTCATTTAATTTGAATATCCCCAACTGAGCAAGCCAAAGGCAACAGTGGCAAGGAACCGAAAAACTCCATCAAGTGACCCGATGGTGTCCTAGAACTCCATCAGATGACCCGACGGAGAAAAAAAAACCTTGGGAGAACCCAGGCTCAGTCGGGGCCAGTTCTCCTCTGGCGTTTATGAAGTAGAGGCCGAATTTACAGTAACTGTAAGATAAAAAATGTATATGAATGCCTGGCTAAATAGATGCGTCTTTAGTCTAGTTTTAAACTGGGAGAGCGAGTCTGAGCAACGAACAATATCAGGAAGGCTATTCCAGAGCTTCGGAGCTAAATGTGAAAATGCTCTCCCTCCTTTGGTGGATCTGGATATCCTAGGAATGACCAGAAGCCTCGGATTTAGTGATCTTAAAGAGCGCGATGGATTATAGGGCGATAGAAGATCCGTTAAATAGACTGGAGCTAAACCATTCAGAGCTTTATAAGTCAAAAGCAACACCTTGTAATTAATACGGAACTTTATAGGTAACCAATGAAGTGATGATAGAATCGGTGTAATATGATCATATTTTCTTGATCACGTCATGGCAACGTACAACACAAAGTACGTACCTCACGCGGGAAACACGACGTAACGCGAAAATGCGCGAGACTAGCGTAAAACAAGCAAGCTAGTGTGCATAGGAGAAATAACACATTAGCGGACCGGAGGGAATAATATCGACTTTTTTCCAGAAAACTTCTTGCACAAAATAAATTCAAGCACTTTCAAGTATCTATGCATGAAATGTAAATGCATTAATCTATGCATCTATCTATGCAAGTATCTATGCATGAGAAAAATTCAGATTCACAAACTTTTCAAGGATTTAAAGGACCCGTTGGGAACCCTGGCATCCGCTTTCTTTGTTTACGGGGTTACGTCTGCACTTCTGCTGCTCCATAAACACTCCATAATTAATTATTCGGAGTATTTTTAAGTGCAAACGATAACAATACCGTGCACGTTCATTATCGTGATATATCGCATTAGTGTATGTGTAATACTATTATTGCTATATAACCAACATTGTGTATATATGCAGTGGAATTTAGTTCGTTTCAACATTAAAAAACTTGTTGCATTAATATGAATTTCAACTGATGTGTTTATATTAAATGTCTCATCCAATCAGACTTGAGTTTAAACTTACCTTTTTATATATTACATTACTAAGTTACATTGCATGTGAAACATTTATATTAAGCTCTATTTTTTTATATATAAAAATAACTATATAATTTGAATTAATACAACACTTTACAATAAGGTTCCATTAGTTAGCATGAACTAACAATAAAAATACTTCTAAAGCATTTATTAATCTTAGTTGATGTTAATTTTAACATTTATTAACACATTATTAAAATCAAAAGATGTTTCTGTTAATATTATTTAATAGACGTGAGCTGAACTTTGAACAGTTGTGTTTTTTTAAATAATGTTAACAAAGATGAATAAATACTGTAACAAATGTATTGCTTAGTGTTAGTTAATGCATCAACCAATGGTAACTAATGGAACCTTACTGTAAATATCATATTTTTTAATCATTTTAATGATTTATTATTAATAATTCACTGTTTTGAACTCAAGTGTCTTATAATGTGAAGCTGTTTTCTAATGATTTTTTTGTTGAATTTCCAGGGGGTAAAAAAACAAACAAACAATGACAAAGATATATATCATTATTGTTACATATTATATCACGCCGGGACGATGCGAACGCATCAGTACCTTTTCTAGAAGAATCTTGACGCAGGTCATGTGACCCTCGTAAGTGGCGGACAGCAGCGGGGTGATGCCGTGTTTATCCGGAGCCTGCAAGGAAAAAACACCACAATTATCCGCAAAATCACCATCTGTATGAATTAGACCGAGAGAGATGCATGCTGGGTAATCAGGCGAAAGCGGTCTCTCGCTGTACACGAGTGCTCACGATGGGACAGAGATCGAGGACCTGTGCATGTTCTGGAGGAGAATTGCAGCTTTTTCAACATTTCTCATTCATTTTAGCTTGACCTGATGTAAAAAAAAAAAAAAAAAATGAATAAAAACTAGTGCTGTCAAACGATTAAAATATTTAATCGCGATTAATCGCATTAATGTCATAGTTAACTCGCGATTAATCGCATTTAATCGCACATTTTTATCTATTCTAAATGTCTCTTGATTTCTTTTTGTCCCATTATTTTTTTCTCATTTTAATGCTCTTATCAACATGGAAAAGTGGATCGGCTTGCTTTGTGCAAATGTTTTTTATTGAAAACAACACAAGCGTACACTGTGTTCAATTTCACACTAACATTCTCACTTGGAGCAAATAATCTCTCACACAATGTTACACTGTCCATCAATAAAAGGGTGAAAGAAATACTGACGAGGTCCTGATATTGACGAGGGGGCGGAGAATTCGCATCAGCTGTGTGTGTGTGTGTGTGTGTGTGTGTGTGTGTGTGTGCTTGGCCATCATCAAGTGGTGTTTCAGACTGGACGTGCTGCGATGATGATAGCTCAGTTCACAACGACAAAACACACAGATCACTTTGGTCTCGTCAATGGGACCATTTGGAAACTTTTTAAAAGTAAACTTTCCATTCAGAATCTTATTGGCATCCATTTCGGCGTCTCGCGCTCGTCATCCACTCAAAACTGGACGTTTTGAACGTTCCTATAACATTCAGAAATAAAGTTTTTATAACTTAATGGGAACGTTATAAAAAACATTCTTATAACCTAAAATTGTTAGCTGGGGAAGAGGAGAGATTCGCGATTGCACTGAACACGTTTTAAGTGCAGGCATATTCTCTGAGTGAGCCCAGAGAAAATTCTTACAAGAGCAGCGTGTATCTGAGAGCGCGCGCGACTCGAGCAGAGAGATTCGTGCTCGGCACATTATATTCCGCGCGCGAGCAGAGAGATTCGCGCTCGCGCATCCGGCTCGCAAGCCCAAACGAGTGTGGGCGGCGTGCCTGTTGTTTTGTTTCCGGTCTAGCTAGATCCGCTTGCGCTTTCAAAACGTCCTCGCGTGCCGCAAACCATTGAAATGAATGGGTTTCATAGCGCAGCGGCCCGCATGCCGTCCTGTTGCAAAAGCATGTGAAAAAAAACCTACAAAGTTTGCTAGGCCAAAAAGATCGTTAATCGCGCGATAAAAAAATTAACGCCGTTAAAATGGGTTTGCGTTAACGCCGTTAATAACGCGTTTAACTGACAGCCCTAATAAAAACTATTTATATATATAAAAAATAATAATAAAATGTTTAGTTTTTATTTGGAAAAATTATATAAAATTTAAAAGCACACAATAAAATGACTAAAACTAACACATATGAAAATATAAATCTAATCGGGGTTATTTTAGTTTTATATTAACATTTTTGAATTAGCTTTTATTTTTATTATTTTTAGTTTTCAAGTTTATTTTGTCATTTTATTCGTTTTTTTTTTTTTTTTTTAATATTGCTATTTAATTTATTTTTATTTCAGTTTTCAATTTAATTTATTTCCAGGTAATTATTTTAGTTCAACAACTTGAGTTTATTGCCAAGACAACATTTCTACATCTTAATTACGTTTTCAACTAATATTTATATTTAGATTATAAATTATTATATCATATTGCATTATATATTAATATTTATTTTTTTGTTACAGCTTTATTTCAACGAACACAAATGTACTAAAATAACACTGTCTATTTAATTTCGTTTCTTCTGCTCACCAAATAAAGTAAAAACAGGAACATTGGAATAGAAATGGGCTCTTATTACAAATTACAATAACAGTTTTCTATTTGAATATTGTAATTTAGCAGAAGTCTGACTGTGCTCTGATGGTATCAGCCGAGTGTGCGGGTCTAATATCTCCACATGCTAAACATTTACATACTCGAGCAGATATTGATCTAAACACAGACTTGAGCTGGTGTGTGTGTGTGTGTGTTACGTTGACATCGGCTCCTTTCGACAGCAGAAACTCGAGCATCTCGTTCTGACCACAGTCTGCAGCGTAATGAAGAGGCTTTCGGCCTCCCTCCAGAGTCCGGTTCACATCCTCCGCCTGCACACACACACACACACACACACACACACACACACACACTATTACTAATATATCACCATTCTAAAACATTATTACAATCAGATCATATTATATACTTTAATCATTATAAATATGTTTAATATTAAATATATTATTCATATATATTTATATTAATATTATATTATTATTAATTATAATAATATTATTATTAATTATAATATATTATTATTAATTATAATAATAATAATATGGTATTATTATTATTAATAATAATAATATATTATTATTAATTATAATAATATTGTTTATATTTAATAGTATGTTATTATTTAATCATATTTATTATTAAATACATATTTAATTATTAAGTCATATTCTGTTTAATATGATTTTAATATAAATGATACATTATTATTATATGATTATCACATATTATATACCAGACATACATAGTCTTATTATATTATATGAGCATGACAATAATTATATAAAATATTAGGATACTTTAATCATAAATATAATGATATTTAGTATTAAATATTACATTATTCAATAAAAATATTTTTAATAGTTTGTTATTATTTAATAATAATAATACAAATATTTAATATATTACTTATAATAATAATAATGTTATGCATTGTATAATATGTGATAATTATATATATATTATATGAAAATAATAATAATATAAAATATTTATATAGAAATCAATATAAACATTATTTTATCTTTTGCTTAAGTGTTTTATAATGTGAAGCGGTTTAATTTACTGGATTTCACCCCAAAAATAGACATAAATAGATGTTTATCAGCAGATCATCTGAACTCATCTATTAGTCCGATGACATTTATTTCTTTAAAATACATTTATTTTACTGCTGCTTCTCTTCATCATGTGAACCTGCTGTGTGTGTGAACCGTGGTCAACCGCTGAGCTAAATATATCACGACCACACGAGAACACAGAACGCCTCCATGACGAAACACTGAACATCTACTGACGGACGGCAGATCTTCAGCGCTGACCGGACGCTCACACACACTCATATGAGGATAAAACACCAGATATTCTGAGGCTGTAAGTGACGAACTAAACCACACACAACCTCTCCATACAGGTACTGTTTAAAACACCTGCGGTCTCCTGCCCACATCCTCAAACCACACACACACACACTCACAGTCTCTCTCTCTCACACACTCACACACACTCTCTCTCAGACACACTCACTCAATTCAGCACTCCTCTGGGGTCTGCAAGCCGCTTCTGTCTGTGTGTGTGTGTGTGTGTGTGTGTGTGAAGAGTGTATATAGTTACACATGGAGGTGATGTGATATTGTGACACAGGATACACACTTAACAGATGAGAGAGAGAGAGAGAGAGAGAGAGAGAGAGAGAGAGAGAGAGAGAGAGAGAGAGAGAGAGAGAGAGAGAGAGAGAGAGAGAGAGAGAGAGAGAGAGAGAGAGAGAGAGAGAGAGGTCAGACACCAGCTGAACGTCTTTAAACCATTAACACAACCACAGTAATGAACAAACCCACTCTGGTAATAAACGATCACTAGATTTACACACTGAGGTATTTACTTCACACTTTAGAATACCAAGAAAACCAGTGTATTATCATCAGGAAAAACACTTCACTATCTACTGATGCTATTTTGTCCTTATAGTTTTCTGACACACACACACACACACACACACACACACACACACTCACTCACTCTCACTCTCTCTCTCTTTCTCTCTCACACACACACACACATACATCAGAAAAACATCACCATGAGAAAGAACACGTCACTATCTCCTGATGCTATTTTGTCGTTATAGTTTTCTGGTAAACTATTTCTGTCCATAACAAGTACAATCGTGCTCCACTTCTGAAACGACTTTCCTTTATGGCTGACATCATCAGTGCCTCATTTCCTATTAGAAAATCTTTCAGGAGAAATAACAATGCTGAAATAATGCTTTAAAGAGAAAAAAATACAAAAATAGAAAAACTAGTCAGCTAGTTAGTAGCTGGTTCACTAATAAATGCATCAAATTAATCAAATAAAATGGGATGCAAAGCAAACTTATTGTTTAATGTTGAAAAAAAAAAAAAAACCTGCTGCTTTTTTTACTGAAACCAAATCAGCTTTAGATCGAAAATCTGTTGTTAGAAAACATCCACGTGTTGCTTTTACTGCTAAGTACCATAATAGTACTATGGTTTCTGGAGCATAACATGATAACCTGGTTCTGTATCACAGTAATACGGCTTGACATGCTAAATGGGAATCAATCAGTGTCATGATATAGATCAGAAACCATGGTACCATCACAATACTGTTTTGTAAGGGTTTATAAACCTTGACGAGCTGTCAGACCTGTTTGAACTCGATTATGAATGTATGTGAAAAGATGAAACGTGTGTGTGTGTGTGTGTGTTTCTCACCTTAACCAGGAGAGTCTTAACCTCATCCAGATCTCCGTTTTTCAGGGCCCACATCAACTCCTTATCCCCCATGTCACCTGAAAACACACACACACACACACACACACACACACAGTATCATAGGCCTGCGCTCCTAAACTGGCTCGCGCCTGCGCTGCGGGTGTTATTTCATGTCCCCCGAGTGTTTAACGGCTGTATGAAGTGTCTCAGTGGTTCACTCACCGGATTGCTTGTGTTTTTCGGGTTTGACAGAAAGTTTGTGCTTAGACACTGACGGGATCCGCCTGAACTGCAGCTTCCAGAGGCACGAACTTCCGCTATCAGACTAGCGCCCACAGAAACACTTCAAAATAAGAGTCCCCGTCCACACCCACCACCTCAGATCTGTCATGAAGCGGTACATGTCAAGTAAAATAACAACAAAGACAATAAAGTAGACTATCAATTCAAATAATAATAATGATAATCCAAATAAAATTTAATTAAATATATACAGCGATTAATCAAATCCCTGCATAAACCGGGCCGTCGTCATTTCAGAATAAGAGTCACTTAGTACAATCGGTGTGTTTAATAAGGCCCAATCCCAAATGGCACACTTCATGTGCACTTTCGGTCTTGTGGACTTACAATGGCTGCCGCGTGCGCGTGTCCGTTAAGTCCGTGAGACCGCAGTGTGTCCCATTTGTCATTTTTAGATCTCAGAAGGGTGCTCGCGAGCGCCCCCTCTGCGGTCGATTTGCGCCCTTGATGCGCACTTTTGCCAAGGGGGTAATCCATCGACCGGAAGTTGAAGCCGGCCGGGTGCCGCCATGTTGTAGCAGAACTTCACTTGCGTTAGCATTTCCATTGACTCCCATTCATTTTTGCGTCACTTTGACAGCGAATAACTTTACATCTGAGGCGTTTAAAGACTCCATTTGTCATTATTTATTTCTAAAGAAACACGACAATGTATAAAGGGCTCCATTACCTTCTATGTTACACTATGGCCCCGTAGAAACAGATTTAGTAAAAATAGGCTAACGATTGCGTCATAACCACTCGACTCTCTGTCGCGCTGTACAGAAGTTACCGTACAGACAGGAGGAGAAGCTGGCAGGCAATCGGGGGGACGCCCCGTCAAGGGAGAAGCCCATAGATAATGAGTCCATAAAAGCAACGGAATACTTACTCCTGCTCACTCACGCCAAAGAACTCTTTGCTCAAGTTCCCCGTCTCTGCAAGATTAACGTTGGCAGTTTTCACGCACAGCTACCAGAAGAGTAACGTCTGTCAGACAGGTTGCTCACGTCATCAAGCTTAGTTTGAGTCGGTCTGAGTCTGCGCGTCAGGAACGGAAGTTCTCAAAAATCGCTAAAAGTGGGCTTCAACTGTCTCAACTGAGTTCCAATGAGATCGCTCTTTTGCCGAGCCCGCGCTGATGCGGACTCCACAGCAGACTTCTTCCCGACATTCAAAGCGGCGTTACGTCGCGAAAGTGCGGACTCAGAGGAAGACCGCGAGTGCTTAGGGTTCCATTTGGGACAGGGCCAAAATCATAAATCACTCTAAATATAAATAAATAAAAAATATACATAGAACAGGAATAGAATCCAGCTGTTAACGAAGATGGGAGAACACAGATGGGAGTTATTAATATTGAGGTTCAGGAGGTCAGTTTGTAAGAATATTAATGCTTCATAAATCAGAGATTAAATAGATCAAAACAATGAAATTCAATCTGAGTTCTGATAAAGAGGATTTGGGATTTTCGGACAAATATAATTATTGGAGGTGCTAATGGGTTAATATAATTTACTGGAAAATCTTTTCAATTTCGTAGACGACAGTAGCACTAGCTATACTGTGGCTGTCTAGTTAACACAGTTTTGGATTAAATCTACATTTGCATGTAAATGTTTTATTTACATTATGCTAATGTTTTTATTATTATTATTATTATTATTATCATTTGTGCTGTTTCGTATCTAATTCCTTTCTGAGTGATTTTTAATCAGCGAGTATCAGTGATCCAAATGTCTAATGTATAGAGACAGAGAATAAATGAGTGAAATAAATCATTTTCATTCAGTCAGAATACACAGCCTATGTTTTAATGGTTGTCAATAGATTATTTTTGCAGTCTGATTTTTAATCAGTGAATACCAGTGATCCAAAGGAGATATTGGCCTATAATTTATAGATAGGCGGCGGCCTATACCCGAGGAAAAAATAAACGAATGAATAAATAAATCATTCTGACTTTTTTTAATGGTCATCATCAGGTAAAGATTTGCAGTCATTTTTAGTTATGTCTTCAACTTGGCTTAACTTGACCAGTTAGTTTGCTCTCTCTGTGTGTGACATTATCAAATGTAAAAGGTTTGGTGTTTATTACAATGGCAAATTCACAAAAACATGATTTATAGCCCATCCATAGTTGGATGTTCACCAACAAAACAAGTATTGTTCAGAGAACATTCAAATAGCGTTCACATAATGTTTGAAAAATGATAAACTGGAATGTTCCCTTAACGTTCGTATAAAACGTTTTTTAAAACTGGACGTTTGAACTTTGAGAACATTCAGAAATAAAGTTTTCATAACTTAATGGGAAAGTTAACAAAACGTTCTAGCACCGCTCAGGTTTCTTTATGTTGCAATTATAATGAAGAATGTCTTTCTGAAGCTCTATCAGAATTACAGCATTAAAACAGACGCAGAAAAGAGCAACTCGATGAGATCACGCCGTTTATCAGCTTCTAATGTGAACAGCGCAGAAGTCCTTCACCTTCCCACATATATGGCAAGCCGTTTCCACTTTTAATCATTCCCAGGATATGAATTCTTGATTTCAACAATTCAATTTTCACTTCTTGATATCAACAATGACGTCATCACTAGTTAAATGTCACCATAGGCTGCCATTCACAATCAATTGTTGATATCAATAATTATGTGATTACTAGTGCAAATGTCTGTTGATATCAACAATTGAATTGTTACTTCTATGTTCATTTTTTATATCAATAATTTGTCACTAGTGACAATGTTCATTTCTGATATCATGAATGTGATTGTTGCTAGTAAGAAAGCCATTTTAATATATTTCTGATGAATAGATGTACGGCAAACACGACTGTATGGTGTATGGGCATATATTTTTATGTTGTGTGCGTATGTTTTTTGATATGAGGATACTCGATACAGTATCTGAGGTACATCTGATTGAAGTGTAATGTCTATATGAGAAAAAGTTTTAAAAAAAACACACAAAAAAAACACCATTTTAGATATCTGAAATTACTCTCCAAATTATTGATATCAGAAATACATGTTAAGTTTCAGAAATAAATGTAACATATTGAAATACATTTACAGATAGCAAGAATTAACATTTGTGAAAACTGAGTTCTGGATATCAGGAATTTCTGATATGTGAAACTGGAATTTCAAATAGTAAGAAATCAATTCTTAATATGAACAATTGAATTTGAATGGTAGCCTGGTGACATTTAACTAGTGAAAACACAACTACACATATCAAGAATTCATATTTCTGCGAGTGATGACGTCATTGTTGATATAAAGAATTAACATTTTAACTAGTGAAAAAGCAATTCCTGATATCAAAAATTGCCATTGTTGGTAAAAATCCAATCCCTGATAACAAGAATTATCATTTTAACTAGAGAAAATTGAATGGTTGATATCACAAATGCCATAACACATTGCCACTGTTGCCTTGGATTTTGGCTTGCTTAGTTGGGGACATTTAACATTTAATATTCAATAATATTATTGATCTGCCTTACTTAAGGTGGACGTTGACGCAATTTCTTTGAGAAACAAACGTTGTTATATTGTTATATTGTTTTTGTTATATTGTTTTCATGTTATCACTGTGAAGCGCTTTGATACAATCTGTATTGTAAAAAGCGCTATATAAATAAAGGTGACTTGACTTGACTTGACTTGACAAATGAATATCCTGGGAATGATTAAAAGTCAAAACGGCTTGCCACACCACCTAACCTCCCTCATTCTGATATATGGACGATGACAGCGCCGCGTGACACTATTATTGCATGAAATAAGCTCTCAAAAGAAAACCAATCCAGCTAGAGGACAAAAACATCTATAAAGGAGTGCGTGTTTGTCAGAAGGGTTATAAAGCAGCGCTCGGCCCTTGAGAGCCCCTGCTCGCCGCACATTAGCTGTGTTACAGAAGCACGAGGCATAATGACATTCAGCATCCGAGTCGAGGAGGGTCTCGCGAGGCCACCGCAGGCTTCATGCTGAAGCACAGGCATCAAGAGCTCATGCTACTGCAGGACGGACACTGTTAGCAAACATCTGTACGGATGAACAACTACTTTTTTAATGCAAAGGCCAGATATTCGAATGCATAGGCCGACTTAAGGCAATTTGAATTTAACTAGATATACTTCTCCAGTTGATTGACTACTTTAAGAATTGCTCGTTTTTTGAAATGTTATGTTTAAAGGTGCTATGTATTTTTTAGCGGCCTTTGACTATCGGTGATGTTTCAGATTGCAACCAATTTTTTCAAGAGCGCTCGTGCTCTCTAACACAAGAGCGGGCACTCATGGTACCGGCCGGCCACACTGAGACTTTCAACACACCGGAGAAAGCATCACACAACATGCTGGAAACTCATGTAAACTCCCACTGCAACGTTACAATAATAGGCTACTTTTATCAGCTTGATGTTGAACTAATGCTCCATGCTCGTACCATGATAACGTTACATTGACTGCATTTAGCCGACATGTGGTGTTATCTAGCATAAGGCATTTCACTGCTGATTGTGAAAGATACACGAATAGTTAATGTCAACATAGGTGAATGTATAATATGATAACGAAAATGGTTAGTGAACTACTGAACAATGTCAGTGTAACAGTAAGACAGTAGGAAGTAACATTACTGTACTGAACGTGTTATAAATGATATGATAGTAGTGGGATGAGTGACGTTAGACAGTAGATCTAGTACATAAAATAAAAGTTACATCCTAAAGCACCTACTTTATGTTATCCTGGAACAGTCTTTTGTATTCATTTCATATCTCATGTATGTTGTAGTTTACCTTGCCATTTCATTACAGTTTACCATTATTTATTTCAGCATATCTGAAAACTTGTAATTTATCACAATAAAAATAGCGGAGGTCTCTCCATAATTCAAAAGCTCTGCCGATGTTGATCCGTGTTTTCGTCATAAGTCGATCCGATTCACGTTTGGCCTGACGAGCATCAGCAGATACATTTCTGTTTTGTTTTGTATATTTATGTGGAGTTTGTGTTGGAGTGTGTGTTGTGCTGGAGGCAGGAGTGTTTGGTGTTTTCAGACTCATGTCGTCAGCTGCAGTG